CAGTAGAAAATGCCGAATTGTTTCTTAGGATTAATGAAAAAAATATATTCAAAGATTCCACCAGAAATGTCTGACCGATCCCAGACTCCATTTTGTATTTAAATTTTCTGAAACCTGACTCGAAACTAAAATCTTTGTTGCAGCTGCATCAGTGTCAACATTTTTCTCCGTGTTTTCTTTTTTAGCCAAGGTAAAGTTCTCCAAATACCCGAAGAAAATATTTTCCTCACTGGTGTTGACTGTCAGAAAAGGCTTCTAAGGATGAATCACGGAAAATGTACGATCCCAACCTTCAAAAATTGGTGATGTGAAGAAGATAGATTACGAAATGCGGCAATGCGACGGCTCTTCGTAAGGAATGGACGATTGCTGTGAGAAAATGCAAAGTTTTATATTTTCCGAGGGGGTTAATCTGCATTGTTCGAATACACTGCACCTTAAGAAAAAATGCAGATAGAGACAAGTGGAACGTCGTTATTTACAATACAAAAAATGATCCTATTGTACATTTACTGGTTGTTCATAAAACGCTTGAAAGAAATTCCATAAGTTCCATTTCGTTTACAGTATAAAGATGACAAAATATTGAGGAAATGCCAGCTTTTTTTTGTGGTAAATTAAAATGCCATACGCGCAGTCCACAAAAAACGCAAGTTTCTTTTATAGCTATTAATCCACGGAATCTGAAGGATTGTCAGGAATCGTCCTAGTTTTTCCAGCTTCTGTACATAAAACTTGGGTAAGAAGTGCATTTTGAATGAACCCCACTGGCCTATATGTCGGACAATGTCGTCAACACATCCATCATTAATGAGGAAACTATCAAAATGTCTGAGATCGTCATCCGGTTTCAGAAATATTTACATCTAGCCCTATATTTTGGGCATTATAAATTTCTCTAGAGCTTATTTTTTGGTATTCGTGTTTTCACATATTTTCGATTATACATATTTTTATTATTTCACATGAATCCTTTTTTTTAGTGGCAAGTGACTGCGTGAGAATATAGGCATTTATACTTTGGTATTTCGAGCATTATGTCAAAATGTATATTACATTTTTCGAAAAAATCGTTACAGTGTTGGGGAAAAAGTGCCGAGAACTGTTTCCAATGATGGTAAAGAGTCGTTTCAGAACATAAGAGGAACAAAACACAACAAGAAAAGCACTCATGGCCTTTTTGGGTCAAATTTATGCCTGATCATGAGATTTATTATTACTAAATTTTTCTTAAGAATACTGTAGTAAGACACAATATCGCAATTTTCGGAGTGAATTGAGGAATAAGTTTTCATCATCAAATCATTTACCAATAATAGGTACAAAAGATCATCCCTTATATACGGAGCATTTTTGATGCGAAGAGGTTCATTTTAATCTCATTGCGAAAATTATGCAGTGTTTGGATATTCTAAGTTCTGCTATGAGGATTAACGCACGCGTTTTATTTTCAATATTTTAAGCTAATTTATTTTAAACAGATTTTTGGTTGCTTTGATTATAGCAACCGGTTGAGAAGATAAATTTGTGCCTTCCGTTTATTTATTTTTTCTTGGGGAGGGGAAACCGTTGACGGATTTCATCCGTTTTTTACGCGCGGGTGGTTTTCCACCCGATTAGATATTTTTAATTGATTTTTCTTCGGTGGTGCGCCGCGAGTCCCCAACACTGGAGGCAAGCTTTGGAATTGAAGTCATATGCTTATATTAATGCTCTCGTATGAAGAGCGAGGATCCGCTCTTTTGGCTAGGAACATTTTGCCAATGAAAATTTGAATTGCGATGGAAGCAGAAAAAGTACTAAATGAGGTACTTCTACAGCAAGTATAAGCACTTTTTAAGGATGCGGATGGGTTTGACTATAGAATGCGCGAAAAAGGGAAACATATTCTTTCTCTTCCCATAAGATATTTTTCCGCCGAAAGAAGAATTCGCGTCCTCCGTCATCAAAGTTAAGATTAAAAAAAAAAAAGTATGAGCGTGGGAGGTCCATTTTTTCATATTTAAAATATCTTAATTAAAGAGCCTGAACTCCAACGCGAATAAAACGAACCGAGTGACTTCATAAAATGTGATCAATAAAATATGAAGAGCATATAAAAGCAAGGATCAGTACCTTTTGTCAATGGAATTTTAATTGATTTTGAAGCAGGAAAGATATTAAACTACGCATTAATTTGCACATACATTTTTGAAAATTTGGGGGCCTTTCCAGAAAAGATGCGAAAATGGAAACAATTTTCATATTCTAGTCGGTAAAAAGTTTGACCACCCAAAAATATAAACAAAATGCTTCGAGGCATCAAATAAAGCATAAAAAGACGTTGCTTGGGTTTTATGCCCACATAATTGAAGAGTAGAATAAAGCTACATCCAGTATTTTATTGTTTTAAACACTAACCTTCCGTTACACAAAAAAAATAGCAAAATCGTGAGCTCATTGAAACACGTTTACGACTTGTTTGAAATTTCAGAGATCACGAATCAAAATTTTGCCAGAAATTCCCAAAAATATCAATTCTCAAATTAAAATCCTTTCATGTCAAGAAAGCATGCGATAACAGCATGACAAATACTGTTGCCTTGCAATGTTATCGCAAAAATCAAGAGAAATGTTACTAGTCATCAATTTCAATTCTGGATACACGTTCACGGAGGCCATGCGTCTGCAGTACTCGCAACTGCCGCACCTGTCGCAATACGTTCACTTTGCTGATCGTTTGGTACATTATGACGCTGACGAACGTCGAGATGACTCGAAGAATAAGGATTCGGAAATTGTATTTTGACAGTACTGTACTTGGTGGGTTGAATAACTTCGGGTTACGACCAACTGTTGTTTCCTACACCTCAGCAACAAAATAAATGTACTACTGCTGCGGTTGACGGATGGATTGGATAATTCTGTTGGAAGCTCATTCCATTTATTTTACTTTTGGACCACATATCAGGGATATTGATAGAATATTTTCAACGACATTCATGGGTTCAACGGAAAAAAAATTAACAAGGGGTTGTAACCCATCGACAATTTCCCATATAAATCAATGCCTTTGAAGTGCAAACCCATTTAATTGCCGTCATAATATTCTGTAATTCATCATGCATTCGAAGAAATCGCACAGAATCGATGCTTTATCCCAAATTCGCAATTTTGTTTTCAGCGGAAGCAAGATCATAAATTTTTAAAAAGCTAATAAAATATAATCAGGGAAGATGAACGTAATTCTGACAAAACAATAGAATTATGTCCCATAACAAAATGAGTAACGGTCATCAAAAATAAGAATAATTCATAAATGAATCTCCCAGCCAAACATAGCTTTCCCACAATTCATCACACCGACGATGGAAGTATTCAATGATGAAGTTTCCATATGCTGCTCTTGGGGAAAAGATGAATCCATTTCTTCCCACTTATTTTGCAAGGCTAAGAAGAAAAAGCCTACGGCAGCAGTGAAAAATTACCACAGCGCTGAACGAACCAACAACTCATTCATGGTATCCTGTACTGTATTATTTATCATACTTCTGTACTTGCGGTATTATTCTCCTTATATATAGCTTCCAAATGAATTCATCCCAATTCGAAAGTGAGTCATTTAAATTTTTAAACAGCCCGCCCGACTTTTTTACAGGAATAATAATAATAAAAAAAACAGACATTCATTGACGTACGTTCGCAGCTTGTGCTCAGTGCATTCGAATCATCTGATTCGATTGGTCATAAATACGAGAAATATTTTGCTGACAGCCTGGCACTAAAATAGCTTTTTAAATTACTCTGAAATGAACCTCAATTCTCTATTTAGAAGTCCTACGAAATTCAAATTAGTTCACGCAAAGGAGAGGAAACATCTGCCAATGTCAGATCCATTGCGTATATCAACGATGAGATTAAATTGCTGCATTTGAAAAGCAGCACGAAGTTCGATGTCACTTTGAGACATCTATTATAGAGTCATAAAGGAGCTCCTCGTTCAGTTTTTGATAACGTTGCCAATTAGAGATAATTGAGAGAGAAAACAGCTTCACACGAGTAGTAAATGGTGTCAGGAGTATACAGGCCTCGATCATTAAAGGTGGAATTTCTGTCGCGAGCTTCCTGCTGTGCCTGAAACGTTCTAATGGCAAAACAACCCTTAAAAATCCTTAGATGCATAAAAAAAAAGCTCCAGTAAACGACTTCATGACTGGTGGGATGTGTTTAAACATCCAGAAACCTGTTTTTTTAAAAGTACATTTACTGTCCTTGAAACAGAATCAGAAGAAAAACCTTGTGGCACATGCTGCGTCAAATAACTGCGGGACTGTTTGCTTGAGTAATTAACATATAATTTGACATTATTTTCAAGTAAAGATATAATTCAAACCTTCTGATGCTTAAATTCCGTATTATTTTTTCTTGAACCTCGAAAATTCGAATTCAAGATTTCCCTGCAATGAATAGCAACCAGGAAAATCTATGTTCAAAATCTGAACAGGTGCCAAAACTGAAACTCTAGCTTAAAGGGCCAAAACTATTACAGATTTTAAGCTGCAAAAAACACATTCCAAATTCAAGATACATCTGAGTGCTCAGGAAGTTATACCCAGCCTCCAAGGGAATTTAATTTAACCCTTGGACAGTGGAGGGTTCTTTCTCAGTGCGCAGCGGAGTTGGGATTTTGGGGGGGGGGGAAGCACATTTCAATTTGACCCAAGGTTACTGAAATGCGCCCAGGTGCGCCTAAGTTGGGAAAAATCTGGGAGGCAAATTTTCTTTTGATTGCAAGATTTTCCCATGCAAATCCTATACTAGGAATGCAGGAAAAATGCCACCCAGCAAGGGCTTTTTTTAATTTTCATTGAAAATTTTCTGCAGGATTAGAAAAAATCTCAGACTTTTCCTTGACTTAGCCCTTGGTAAGAAAGTACGTTTTTTTATTCCCAGTGCCCAGTGGCACACAATTTTGCAAAAATATCCCAACTTTGCTGCACAAGGGTTAAAAAGCAAATCTACATTTATGGCTGCAAAAATCAACAAAGCTGAAGCATCCTCACGTTTTGGATGTAGAAAGAGGACTTCTTATTGTCTCTGATTACAGGTTTCATAATGACAACAACCACACACACAATCAGCAAATAAAATCTCACATTGTGGAATACAAAACTTGCATTCAAAATAAATAAACTCAGCAAAGAAAACCTGCTTTGCGTATGGTGCAACTCACAAAGTGCAAAACTTCCAAAGCTCATAACTCGGAAAATTTTAGACCTCAAGTTGTGGAACTTTATTTTTAAAATGTCTCGCGCATCCGCAAAGCTTACTCTCCCAAATGAACGCTGTTATATTCTGACAAGGCCATTCCTTCATTCCATATTTGTACTGCACCTATATTTCCTACACAGTTCAACTGGAACCCTCAGAAATGATAAATCGCCCCTAATCGTTCTCAATGAGCCGCCGGTTCCTTATTGACGGCCTTTTGTGCTCAACCGCGTGTACGAGTGTGTATCCGGGCTCCGCAGGAATCACAGCAAAAAAAAGTACCTCTTTTAAGAGGTGCGTCGGTACCAAGTACAAGTGCTGGTAATTTTTCTCGGGACTGAGAAACTTAATCACTTCCTATATAAAGATGTAGAAAATAATTGATGTAATTTATCAGTTAAAAGTAAGTTCCACTATACGTATATAGAGGAATGGCTCGCGTTCGACCGCGGAAAACCAAAATCATCTCGCGCAGCGAGTGATCAAATCATTTAATTTTTCGCCAGCTATTTCGATGAAAAAAGTGACCACAGTCTTCCTTCGTGGCAGAGATCAATTACAACCGTGTGCATCATCCATGACTAGCATGAAAGCACGTTGGAGGAATTCCGAATTTGTTCCACGAAAAAAAAGACCCAGCAGCCATCGAATAAACTCCAGCAATTTTTTTTAGATTACATTCTAAATACACCAAAAGCCCTACCAGCAAAAAAAAAGACATTATTTTCCGCGTTTGAAAATTTTAGGAAATATACCTTTCACGGAAGCATCAGAAAAATTGAAAAAAAAATCATTTTTCTCATGATCCCCTCATTACTTGGGTTGCTTCGTTGCTAATATTTCTCAAGCATGCTTACATAACCTCCAGAACATTAAACTTGATAAGTTTATTAACCTTACAAGCAGGAAATGTTCAGCCACACCTAGGTATCATACGTAAATTTTTCCAAGAGTTGCAAAAATTTCATGGATTTGTGCTGATTAGATGCATACAGTTTTATGATGATCCTGCAATAATTACGCTTTCTGCACCTGTGGTACCCAAACCCACCATCAGCAAATTTTTTAAAAATGAAATGAGCACGTATTTGCCTGCATCAAGCATATTTTTCTTTCTTTTAATTTGAAAATACAGTACAAGACACAACCTCATAATGCTGTTACTCCTAATCCTTCTTTGGAAAAAGTTGTGATGTACCTGTCTCATGTTGGATGAAGCACAGTGCGTCTTTCATATCACGGAGAGAGGAGCAACAAGTTGAAAGGAAATACTACGGTGTTTTTACAACCTTCATTTTACAACTGGGCCAAGAAAATCGAATTGTACATTCAAAACTTTATTTAAAAAATCTTTGTTTGTACAGGAAACCGAGGAAATCCATCAATCTTGCACGCCAGGCGTTTAAAGCGAGGCCAAATATTGACGGAGAGGTTCGAAAGGAGAGAGAGAAAGAAGATATTGGACACTAAAACAAACGTCATCTTTCATCGTCGCTCAGTCATTTGACTGCCGTGATGTTGCAATTTATTTTACCCATGGTTGCAAGGGAAACACGTCGACGTGCGGGGCAAAAAAAAAAGAAAGAGGGAAAACGTCTTTTTTGAAAATTTCGCCAGATAAGTCATGGCAGGATATGAATTGCATCTTCGTTCTACTACCGCGAGAAATAATTTATAAAAAAAAGTACCGCTTTTGGACCTTAATTGGTCCATTTTTTGTTCGCTTTTTACAGGAAGTGTTTCTGATGGCAAGTACCGCCGTGCTTTTTCTTCCTGAGAGCGAATGAATCGATGTTTTTTTTCAGAACGTTTTCAGGAAGGAGCTGATGCTGGTCACTTGACCTCGATTCTAGTCAATACTAAAAACTTGAACATTTTCTGCGGATTATAGTCACCAGGATGATACAGTGCAATTATTTCATTTTCCTTTGATCGATCTGTCATAAAAATTACAGCACGTATTTACGCCCTATTCACATAGTATCTGAAATAGAACCTATGGATAAAACATTGCAATAATGTGATCCTGTTTTCTTATCTAACGTTGATTGGCTCCAAATATTATAATTTCTGTTGAGAATGAATTTTGCGAAATCCCATTTGCACGATTAAATAGTTTCGATATCACATCACAATAGTAAAATCTTGTCGAGTAACATAATAAATTGGTAATATCGTAAAAAATTTATTCCTCAACAAAATATTTCGAACACAGAGTATAGAAGCATGTACAAAATTCGCTTCACCTTTTTTCAATTTATCTCAACTGCAGATGAAATTTCTAGGTTCTGAAATTTCTCCCAAAACCAGCAATTTTAACATCATACGGCAAAGCAAGCTTGTATAAAACAGGTTTTTCCCAACAACCAGCATAATTTAAATACAGTATTTCATTTTTAAAAAGGCCCTCGAGTAAAACCTGACATGGCAGTCTACACCGGAGCAGTAAAAGTTAATTCCATTTGACAGAAGGCATCGCATGAATTAAGTAATCAATCCATGACAATCCACGTTTCACCTTTGAAATACATCTTTTCTTCCTCATGAAGGGTTCATGTCGTTCCCAAAAAAAAGGCGAAACAAAATTTTTTTTACATCATACTCGCACATGTATGAAAAGTATGCTAAAAAGCGAATAAGAAAATGTAAATCTCTCGAAGCTCCGCGAAGAATTCTTTTATACGCACGTCGGAAACAACAGGAGGCAAACTTATTTTTCTTCTACTGTTTTGTAAGAGTAGAAGTAGATAGGCATGAGTATATATAGAAGGCAAAGTGTGGCTTTGAAGGATCGCTTTGTGGCAATTCGGACCTCAAGCGGTTCACTTTGACGAAGACTAATGCCCCCGTGTAATGATCTATCTCGGGCAATGGGCATCATGTAAGTAGAAAAAAATTTTTTTTTCAAATGAAACAATGTTGAGAGTCCATCACTTACCATCTGCATCCCCGTGAGATACTTTTTCCACCACAGGAACTTCTTGTACTTGTCTCCAAGGGACGCGATGAGGTAGTACGTGTACATCACACTGTGCACCATCGAGTTGATGAAGCCGATGAAGAAAGCTGCGGTCAAATGATAAAAGACACGTTCAGAAACATGAATGTGAAAATCATCCTCGGGGTGTAAGCGCCTGAGCGGCGAACAACCACAAATTTCACCCTTGCAACATGCCTATACCAAGATATTTTTATTCTAGCTGTTCGTTCACACGTTTTCAAATGAAGGGGGAAACCATTCACACGAGAAGGGTCAGCCATTTTTTAAAGCTGGAATGAGGCTAAAAAACTTTTTTGGACGGATAAAAGCAATGCTGGATGGAAGTTCAACAAAAATGAACATTTCTTCGGTGTGGAACTGAGAAGGTAAACCTGCATTTTGCTGACACCATATAGCATTGCTCTCATTCTAACTGCTACCTTTGTACGACAGAAATAAAGGAATAAAAAAGACTATGAAATATCACCATTAGCGATACGGAATTCGTTTCCCGTATGACTGTTAATTGTCATTTGAAGGCGCGAAGAAATGGGAAAAATCCTCGGGCAAACACCTTTTGAACCGCTTTTGGAAAATATCGATAAAACTTCCCCTTTTCAACAGATTTTCTGAATCCAATTGCAACGATTCTTCAAGGACATATGATCCAAATTGTTTCAAATACCAAATTCTTAACTGTTATGAGTCAGAGAGGGATGAATTTTGGGCATTTGTTTCATTTCGTTGGTCCATACTTCGCCTCATTCCTCGAGTCAAATTAATGAGCTTGAAAAACGCAACAAATTCTTTCATTCTCAAATGTCGATGCAATGAATGTCTCCCGAGTTCCGACTAATGAATGCATGGAACTTTTATCCAGCCCATCCTAATAAAGATGAATTATTTGCACGTCCTCGAGCGGCTACGCGAAGCTTTTATTAAGACATAAGTTATGTTTCATTGCTTCGTCTTGTGAAACAAAAATGCTAGAGGTGCGAATATTATCTCCCTTTTTTTTTTTTTTTAGCGAAAGTGCTATGAAACGTCAGTCAACGCAACTTGCCATCGTGTTATTTTATGATAATGGCAGGTGAAATTCCATTCTAATGAAGTACAATATTCATTATTATTTTCCTCAAAATTTCTCGAGGAAACGCTTTCGACACAATGGGATCAAAAATCGAATACGGGGGATGGAAAAAAATATCTATTTTTTGTTTGGAATCCCAAAATTTTTCAATTATATTTATCATGAAATTTGGAAGGGAGAAAAAAATCAATGAATTTATACTGCTCAGCACATCATCATGCTATTCAGAAAAAATACTATACTGTAATGTTTTTAGGTTCACGAAAACATTCTCCTCGAATGGTTAATTGTTTTGACGGGAAGTATCATATTTGGCGTTGGTTTTTGCGCAATACTGTAAATGCTGGTCATTTTGCTCGAAAATTTTCTGACGGCGAAAAAAACTCAATTTCGAGAAAAATTAACAAATGAGTTCATAAAAAGTCCCGAAATTTTTTATCAATCAAATTTTAACTCTTTTTCAATTTCAAGAATTCCGTTTAAATTATAAACATTTTTTAAATAAAATAATTTTCGGGCCCCAGCTGATGGAGTTCGGTTGACACAAGATTTAATTTTTTTCAGTATTCGTTTGTTTTTCACGCTTCGCTTTTAATCCACGGCAAAGCTAAAGAAAATGTGTACGGAAATGAAAATTCACTCACATTGTCCTCCGGGCACGAACTTGACCCCGATCCACCAGATGAAAACTTGAGTCGAGTGGTGGTAAACGTGCAAGAAGGATATGTTGCGTTCCTTCTTCCTCAGCACGAACCAAAGCTGGAAGAAATAGAAGAAAAATCCCATTCATGCATACGTACATAAATGGAGACAAACAAAATGTGTTCACTCATGAATGATTAATTCGAACACGAGAGCCTTGACGCGAGTGGCCGCCAGTTGAGTGACATCGGTTCTCGGGTGTAAATAAAGAGCATTTGTCTTTCTAATATTCTGCTTTCATTTTCTTATTGCGACGTCTAGACCCATCCTTCATCTACGTTTCAAACGCATTTGGAGTCCAGTATAAAGACCACCGTCACTCACTTGCTTTCATATCCAGACTTACGCATGCGTGGAAATAACTATTTGTTCCAAGTAGCATTTTTAAGTTCAAATGTCATGTTTATTTATGTCAGCAAAGTATTCGCGCTTCTAATTTGGAAATTTTGTAGATTTCGCAAAAGGCAGTTAAGCGTTGAGCAAGAATAAAAATATGTACCGTATGTGTTTCAAGAGAAGGTCGGATTTCTTCGTAATACTGTACTGTACTCTCTTGTGCAAGTCCTGCTTGAGTGGATGTGATGCACACCCAGTACCAAGATATTACAATGAATTGGTACTCATTCGCAACGATAAGAAAACAACTAGAAAATACGAAAAAGGAAATAGATTTTTCGCGGAATATTTTGACACGTACATTTTCTTTTCGTCTATAGATGGATTTTTCTGGATGCCCACATAACTTTCTCATGATACAGCAGAAGCTTAGTATATTTTAATGGGTTCAGGAATATCAACGTTTTATCGAAGGTCCTTGCACGACATGAAGATTTTTAAAATTTTGAAATAACGAATTTTCTTATAAAAAAAAATTTTCAGATCTTAACAATGACTTCGATTTGATCAGTTTCGGTGTTCAATTTTTCGAATTGGAAGTTCAAAACCATTGATTTGACGTTAGTAGTGACAAAAAAAGTTGAAGGAAACTGAGTTTCAGTTGACCGTCTGTTGAATGTTTTCCAGTTAATGACAAATCGAAGCATCGGAGTCAGAAGGGTTCGATTGTTACCCGGGAAATAATCTGACTTATATCGTCTGTCATGTGGCATGAAGATGAAACTGTAGACAAGATATTCATTTATTTCTTCATAGCTGCAAAACTTTCCATCGCAGTTCAGAAATTTGAGGAAAATATAGAAGTTGATTTCCTCATTGGGAAAAAAAAGGAAGGTGTGGACCTGGATTGTGAAACAAGTTCGAAATCTTTCAGCTCATGTTTTAGTGGCACCCTCTGCTTCTCTGAATCCCCATGCACAAGCCGCTCCTTGTGTCCAGGAACCCTTTGCATTAATATGAGAGCCCACCACATTAATTTATTTCCACGTCAAAAAAACAAATAAAATGATTCATATCATCGCAACTGTCAAATTTTATCATCAGCCATAAAAGCAAGACGTCAATTCGACGCGCTTGTGACGAGTCTATCTCACTTTTTTTTAGACACGAACTGCACAGATTTCCTCATTTTCACTAAATGATTATCATATAATAATTTTTCTGAATCGAAGATCTGCACTTTCGCAATTGATCAAAAGGAAATTGGGATAAAAAGAGTGCGTTAGAATTTACAACAAATTACCCGGAGGATTCATCAAAAATTCTCTCTCGATATTCAGACTGAAAAGTGTATCTCTTAGTAAAAGATTTATTAATGAAGATTGAGGATGAGTTTGAAATTTTTCTCGACGTCTAAGTATAGCCAAATCTATAAAGAGTGGTCCAATATTTTATTTGGCAATTAAACTTCATGTTATACGGAACGCACGCTTCACCTGGATAATTTTTGCCATTCCAGAAAAGAGAATAATTAATTTTGGCACTTTCCTTGTTACAGTATATATATATTCAACCGAAACTGTTCGGAGGAACGGTTTACCATGCGTCAAACCTTTTCTTGGTCATGATTTGAATGTGCTTGTACTCATTGCTTCAGGCTGATGGATGAATAAATTAAAAGCAGTTGAAGGAATGTGGGTTTCGCGTTCATCCACGTTCCTTGCAATTAAAAAGAAACGTGATGAGCAATTGTGAACCAAGACCTAATATTATCATGAATACAAGTGAAATGAAGCCTCCAGACATTCTTTCACTTTGATCATGACCTCCGCGGGAAACGAGTCAAAGATTCTTTCGATTTGAATCGTTCGAAAATTCAGATAGCATCTCTTTGCTGTTTGAAGGTTTCATCGCAAAACCGAATTGAAGTCGGCAATATATAGTCAAATTTAAAGGACTTTTTAATGTAAAAAAATTAAATTCTCTCTTCATTAGTAATAAAACGTGCCTACGACGCTTTTTTTCCTAGGTTTCGAATGGAAATTCTTCAAAAATTTACAATTTGAACATCTTCAAAACTTAATTTTCAATCCAGATTAAATGTTGCATATAAATTGCATTTAAACACTTTCCCATTTGCTGAGCATCAATAACTGCTCTTTCGCACATGAGCAAAAAATAATAATTCGGATACGCAGAAAATGCTGGAAATTTTGCGCAAGACCCCTGTTCTGATATGTAGTCCATATTTAGCATCTCGCAGACACAATAAGTGTCTTTGTAGTCCTTGTTGATGCTTTTTCGACGAGGTCGAACGTCGGCGTGAAAGGAGAATATATAATGTGACAGACTCATCGATGGCGGCTAGGAAACACTAAAACCGAAGGCGGCACTCGCGAGCTCCTCCTTAATCATTTATTTGAACGTCAAAAATGGGGGTTTTCGTTTGCCTGAAGGGTAAAAGAGGGCTGATGCATAAGTTTTTGTCGGTGTCTTGTTGGTCAAATGAAGACTGGCCCTAATTTTAAAATAAATTGTACGCCTTTTATAATATTCACGCGTTTTTATGCAGGTTGAAACGGAGAGAAGGCATTGAAGCGCATTCCGTTCATGTAAGGAAATTATTTTCCGTTCAGTTTTGAATGCTTTTTATATGCACATTTCAAGTGATATCACATTTAGTCAGTTCTGTTTTATAAAAAAAACTTGTTCGTGCTTGATTCCTGGAGGTGAAAATACAGTTTCGTTCAAAGCTCGGACATTTATTATGAAGCTGGACGCGAAGATTTTTTTTGAATTATTAACTGTTGCGCAAGAATAAGTCACGCGAATCATATATACAATATTGAAGAAAATCGTGGGCATTGTATCGTTATAATGAATGTTCGATTGCACGGAATATTTAGTTTTTTCCGGTCCCTGCCCAATAGCCATAATGTTAAAACAGGTCTTTTATAACTTTTTTCCTTACAACGAAGCTTTTTTCTGGTCTCCACGACTTCGTTGTAACGAGATTTTACCGTATCATATACAGTATCTTATTTTGAGCAGGAAATTTATTAGCGTCTATTTTGGAAGTAAAAAAACGGTTTAGTTCAGATTTCGGACATTGTGTACCTGGATATGAAAATTCTACAAAATTAAATTGACGAACAACACAATCGTTTGTAAAATTTTTTTAATGAAGAAAATCTTGGAAAAATACAGTAAAAAAAAGAAGATCGCAGGTTTTCTTGGCATTGATCCCACAGCAAAAGCTATAAAAATTTTTCCTTCGAGACTTGAGAACTGATGCACTTCAAAAATTCTCCCAGAACTTTTAAAGCATTCCCCGTTTTTGTCGTCGCCCGAGGCAAAACGTCGTGGATAACCTCTCTATCTTACGCATTTATCTGGTACTTGTTTTAAAAAATTCCTGTGCTCTCTCTCTCTCTCTCTCTCTCTCTCTCTCTCTCTCT